ATTTTTGGGGTTTTGTACCGTTTGGGGTGTGGGGGGGGGGGGGGGTGTGCATGCGTGTGGGCGTGTGTGTGTGAGAATGTTTGGTCACCCGGGTCTTTTTTTTGCCTACTGTTTTATAAATACTGTTCATTCAGAATTCTTGGCTTAGAGCAAAAACAAAAGTCAACAGATGAAGCAATCCATAAAGAAAAAATATATATTATTACTATCAAAAATGTGTTCCAAAATACTATTAAGTCAAAATTTCATAGGCAATGGAATTTTGACCCACTTTATGCATTCTTGAGTTTCTCATCCTATGACAAAAACATATGAAAATAACATTGATTAGGGCCAGAAACAAGTTTTTGAGAAATTCATTGAATATCAAATAAATGTTTTTATCAATAAAATATTTTAAAAATCACAACTTACGAGTCAATTTGACCCCAAATATGCATTCTAGGGTTATAATAGCTGTTTAGCATTTTTAACTCCATATCAAGTTATCTCTGTCTCTTGTCACTTTGAAAAGTGGAGTCATTGTTCCCAAGTACCAAATCAAACACATGCTGGCTTGTGTGTATTGACACAACACGAGCAAAGCCATGTGACATTGATGTGATACTTGATAGCATTTTAATAGCAGTATTTCTGGAGTTGTCATGTCCTCCCATCCAGAGAGTGAGGTGTGATATGGTTTAATAAACTGGAACTGCTATCGCTATAAAGCGTTTTTTGATTGCTTTTTTTGAGAGGATTTTTGTAAAGCAACACATGGTTTTAATGCAGCACAGCCCTTCAGTCCATCATAAACGAAAGCTGGCTTTGTCATTACAGGCGTAATCAGAGACTTATCATCTGTTTCTGTTCATATCTCAGGTTTTTGTAAGAGTATTTGTTAGCTTGACCTTTATTTGACTGCTTGTTTTGTCAGTCCGACATGTTTTGCTGATAACGACTGTGTAAAGACGCCAATATCTCCTCGCTATCTACAGCTAATTATCAGAGGTCTGAGAAATATGACGGGCAGCTCTGTTTACGTCTATCAAAACAACGTTAACGTGCTACTGAATGTTAATAGATTCACTTTAATGGATGCCCAGTTTGCCGGAAAGCCCTTGTTAAATGATTTGTATTGTGTCAAAAGTACTCCATATCAAGTTATCTCTGTCTCTTGTCACTTTGAAAAGTGGAGTCATTGTTCCCAAGTACCAAATCAAACACATGCTGGCTTGTGTGTATTGACACAACACGAGCAAAGCCATGTGACATTGATGTGATACTTGATAGCATTTTAATAGCAGTATTTCTGGAGTTGTCATGTCCTCCCATCCAGAGAGTGAGGTGTGATATGGTTTAATAAACTGGAACTGCTATCGCTATAAAGCGTTTTTTGATTGCTTAGAAGATTTTTGTAAAGCAACACATGGTTTTAATGCAGCACAGCCCTTCAGTCCATCATAAACGAAAGCTGGCTTTGTCATTACAGGCGTAATCAGAGACTTATCATCTGTTTCTGTTCATATCTCAGGTTTTTGTAAGAGTATTTGTTAGCTTGACCTTTATTTGACTGCTTGTTTTGTCAGTCCGACATGTTTTGCTGATAACGACTGTGTAAAGACGCCAATATCTCCTCGCTATCTACAGCTAATTATCAGAGGTCTGAGAAATATGACGGGCAGCTCTGTTTACGTCTATCAAAACAACGTTAACGTGCTACTGAATGTTAATAGATTCACTTTAATGGATGCCCAGTTTGCCGGAAAGCCCTTGTTAAATGATTTGTATTGTGTCAAAAGTCATTTGGCGACACATGATGGAATGCAATAGAGGAAAGCAGGTTGCCATTTCAGCGTAACTGGCCAGTGGTCAAGATCGAACCGTGTCCGCCTGTGACTCGAACGGCAAAATGTCACCATCTCATTCCGAGTTCAGGATTTCAGGGCTGGATGAAATCAGGACACTAGTTCAGATTTGGTGTTTCGATCAGAAGGGGTTATTTGGAAACAAGCTTGAGGTTCATAAATTTTCATAAATTCTGATCACCTACGTTGACCTCAACTTGACAGTAATTGGAAATGGGTAATTTAGTGAGCAAAGGCAATAACACCAAGGTGAACAGAAGGAGGGGTATAGGGAGCGATATTACTCGTTACTCGAGGATTCATAGCGCAACCTCAATTCATCTGGTCCATCAGTCCTTATCGATCTCAGCAGATAAATCTGCCAAGAGCCATGTGGGAACATGAGAAGTAGAGAGTGAGCCGGGCAAATTTTGGTGTCATCGAAAGGATGGGAATCATTTTTCTTGGATATGCGTTTTTTTAAAGGGATAGTTCACCCAAAAATACTGTTATCAGTTACTCACCCTCAATTTGTTTCAACCTTATGAGTTCTGTTGAGCACAAAAGAAGATATTTTGAAGAATGTTGGTAACCATAGTTGACGGTAGCCATTGACTTCCATAGTATGAAAAAATACTATGGAAATCAATGGCTACCATCAGGTTCACATTCTTCAAAATATCATTTTTTGTGTGTTCAACAGAAGAAAGAAACTCTTACAGATTTGTAACGACATGAGGGTGAGTAAATAATGACAGTTTTTTTTATTCTTGGGTGAACTGTCCCTTCAAGATGTTTTGCTGGTGAAATTACAAATAATTTAAATATTGTGTCACTGTTTTTGTAAAATTGTGTGAATGCTTTCTACTTTTGTGTCATTACATGTAATTTGCTGTGAATGGTTATTAATATTTAATCTTTTATGTCGGTTGATAGGAATGAAGATGCTATCAATCAAATGGCTGTCGCTCCTTTTCCTTCCCAGCCTTCCTTGTTCTTCTCCAGTGAGGTACGGTACATTATGAACGGACATATATGACTTAATTAGAATCTGTGTTTACAGAGTTTCTTCTCTGTAAATCAGGGTTTTTTTGTCCAGTTTTAAGTATAAATGAATGTGTTAATGTAATATTTTAAAATCTAGATATCACATTTGATATTTAATATATTGTATTATATTAATCTGATATTTTATTTATTTATTGCATAAATTGCCTGTTCTGTCCTAATAATTTTGTCAACCACCATGAAAACTCATTGGTCCAAAGTCATGCTCCACATAACATAAATGTCATGCTTATTGCTCATGTTATGCCTTCAAGAAAAAAGTTAATAAATACATAAATTTTTTTAAATTATAAAAATATATATTTTAATTTAAACACAAATTAATCAATTTTAAAGGAACACTCCACTATTTTTGAAAATAGGCTCATTTTCCAACTCCCCTAGAGTTAAATTTTTTTTTAGTTTTACCGTTTTCGAATCCATTCAGCCGATCTCCGGGTCTGGCGGTAGCACTTTTAACTTAGCTTAGCATAGATCATTGAATCTGATTAGACAGTTAGCATCTCGTGCAAAAATGACCAAAGAGTTTCTATATTTTTCCTATTTAAAAATTGTCTGTTCTGTAGTTACATCGTGTACTAAGACCGACGGAAAATGAAAAGTTGCGGTTTTCTAGGCCGGTATGGCTAGGAACTATACTCTCATTCCGGCGTTTATAATAATCAAGGAACTTTGCTGCCGTACCATGGGTGCAGCAGGCGACTGTTTAATTCTAGGGAGTTGGAAAATGAGCCTATTTTCAAAAATAGTGGAGTGTTCCTTTAAATACATTTGTTAATTTAATGTTTAAAAATATAGATAACACATTTAATATTTAATATATTAACATTAACCTGTTATTGTTATTATTCTATTATTAGATTATATATTATTGTTTTAATATGATATTTTATTTATTTATCTATTTATGTATTTTTCGCATAAATTGCCTGTTTTGTCCTAACCACATCAAGCAATGTGTTATAGCACGATTTTGTTGGCCACCATGAAAACTCATTGGTCCAAAATTATGTTCCACATAACACACACATTGAATATGCTGTGCCACAATCTACAGCAATTTCACTTTCAGGAAAAAATATTTTAAAATAATAATTTAAAAAAGAAAAAACTCTACTAATTTTTATTACATTTTTACATTTTACGTGTACAAATAAATATAGATGTCACATTTAATATTTAATATATTAACAATAAATGTTTTTTTCTTTTATTTCTATGACAATATTTAATTAATTTTTTTATTCATTCATGTACTTACTTAATTCTTTAATTTATTGAGGTAATTAGAGGTCCTCACCCCTTCCTGCACTGCTAAAAGTTAGAAGAGTTCATCTGATTTCAGAACTGTTTTTCAGACACATCTAAATACGCCAGCAGTTCCAGCTCCAGCAGAGAAGCCACAGTTACCCGAGAGCCTCCCTCTGAGCAGAAACTCACCTGAGCCGCCGATAATCAAGGTATTGATTATACAAATATGAATAATTATACACGAATAAAGATTCTATAAAAATACTGTTTCATATAGAGTCTAATAAAAGTGAAGAGTGCAGTGAATAAAAAAAAATTCACTTCAGTCTGTTATGCTTGTAATCCAGACTTTTCAACAGATATGATGCAAGAACGTAGCAACTATTGCCATCATTATAAAAAGAATAATGACTCTTGACTCAGCGTTTTACGACTCTATCCCATCTCCCCTCGCTTTCATCCCCTCATTGTCGGTCTGAGCTCGGACCAGCTGTTTCTGCCCTAAATGTGGATTTGTTTTTCGATAAACAAACAGGCGCTTGACTCTAAACAGCAGCTCATTGTCATCGGCTGCCTCTAGCTTAACTCTGTCCTAGATGGAGGTGGCGAATGCGGTTTTGACCTAGTTGAGGCTTTAGGCCTCGCGCTTTATTTTACCTGTTTGCTTGACTCATACAGGATCAGCCCAGCGTGGTGTGGCCCGTGAGCTCCACTCAGACAGATCAGATGCAGGAGACTTTCAGAGTTGAGGAGTCAGCATTGAAGGTGAGGAACACCTAAGAAGATCTCAAGGAGTATGTTCAGAATCATATAGTACTTGTACTATATTTGCAAAATGTATACTGTACTCACTATGCTATGCAATTTATTGTATATGTAAAATACCCATATAAATAATTTGTTATTATTTAGTATTTATAAGTCAATTTATATTTCTATATGTAGAATATGTATTTGATCATTTATTATTTGATTTAAGTAATTTTTACAACTTTTTACATTTTTATTTTCAGCTTATTTATAAAATAAATGCAAACGTATGTATGTATATATAAATATAATTCGGTATATATATATATATATATATATATATATATATATATATATATATATATATATATATATATATATATGCCGTTTCAGGTCTTTGAACCCCACTGTATTCATAGAAAATTTGGGTGAAAATTGCAAAATAACCCATTTTTTTCCACGACAATAGGCAAGCATCCAGCATAATGATGTAATGTTAAAGCATTTTGCATTTTTAATTTAATGAGTGACTTTTAGTTGTAGTTTGCATATTTATACTGAAATTAATATACTTAGCCAATTTTCTGTATTAATGCAATAGCTACATTATTTATATTGTTTTTTATATTATTTATAATTAAATATTTATGTAAATCTTAAATATATTTATAAATCTATAAATATATTGAATAAAAATACATATTTATTTAAGATATTTATAATATCTATATTTAAATGTACATTTATGAACAGATAGATAGATAGATAGATAGATAGATAGATAGATAGATAGATAGATAGATAGATTTTAATTGTGATGATTTTGGCTCACATTTAACAAAAATCTCGACAAATTAGAATATGGTGACATGCCAATCAGCTAATCATCTCAAAACACCTGCAAAGGTTTCCTGAGCCTTCAAAATGGTCTCTCAGTTTGGTTCACTAGGCTACACAATCATGGGGAAGACTGCTGATCTGACAGTTGTCCAGAAGACAAAGAGGAAAATGAGAAACGAGACCAAAAAATGCAGATGAGCTGAAGGCCACTGTCAAAGAAACCTGGGCTTCCATACCACCTCAGCAGTGCCACAAACTGATCACCTCCATGCCACGCCGAATTGAGGCAGTAATTAAAGCAAAAGGAGCCCCTACCAAGTATTGAGTACATGTACAGTAAATGAACATACTTTCCAGAAGGCCAACAATTCACTAAAATAGTTTTTTCTATTGGTCTTATGAAGTATTCTGATTTGTTGAGATTGGTGGGTTTTTGTTAAATGTGAGCCAAAATCATCACAATTAAAAGAACCAAAGACTTAAACTATTTCAGTCTGTGTGCATTGAATTTATTTAATACACGAGTTTCACAATTTGAGTTGAATTACTGAAATAAATGAATTTTCCACAACATTCTAATTTATTGAGATGCACCTGTATACCTATTATTAATAAATAGATATATAAAATACCCATATATTTATAAATGTGTTATTTATATTATATATTTTTCCTTCTTTTTTTACATAACTTTTTTAAAAAATCCTAAATCTTTTTTATTTTCAGCTTTAAAATTTTGAATACCAGATTTTTAATGCAGCCAATGTATTTATGGAAATTTTTAAAAAATGTTTAAAACATTTATCACATCACTAGTAATGCATTCCTATCCTTACCGTTTTACTCATGAATCAAAAAGTGCCATGAATGTTAGTTTCATAATTGCTCCATTAAATTTGGGTTGTGTAGTCTGTTATACTGAGTGATAGAACTAATTACGGTCTATTAATCTTCTCAGAAGCTGAAATCCTCAGAGAAGATATTGGAGTCTCCAAGCGAACAGTCACCAAAGCCTCTTGTGGAGCAGGTGTGTTTGTTCAATAAAGTATATGTTTGTGCTACACAAAACACCATTTGCAACACATTTAACTTTCTTAGTCATCATTAATGCATTCATTTTGAGTTCCTTTTAACTTTGAGTTGCATGTGAGTTGAATGAGATTTTTACTCAATTAAACAGGTGCCAAAACATGAAAGCTCTGCCTAGACAAAACATGGCAGCCGTTAGTAAACAGTCTAACCTCTGTGTCTCTCCTGCAAACTCGCCCTTGTCCTGGATCGTCTCCAGATCACCAGTCTTCCAAATATCCAGAGGAATTCCACCAGGCCGTCAGCCAGTTCTTTGGAGGTCACGTCCTCGGGATCATCCGTGCCAGTCTCTGGCACCAACCCTGACTTCGAGTACTGCAGCAAAGGTGAAACACGCTCAGTGTCCCAGATTTAGTTTAAAACACTTTTACGTTGTTACATTAATTTTCATGTTTATATGGACTTTTTTTTTTTGATGTAGCGCTGCGATCTGTGGTGCCCAAATGCATGTTTAATCAAGACTGAAATGAAAACAACACAGCGCTGCCATGTGGATTTGCCTCTGCCTCTTTGAACACTGACAGTTGTTGTTTTTTCCAAGAGGAATTCATTTTCTTTTCACTCTGAGTGTTTTTAAAAACACAGAACATGAAGGACTTGCATCATCTTTATCTCTCTCTGTGTGTTTCAGACCCTGCTACGTGTCCCATAGTTCCAGGACAAGAGACTGTTATTGAGATTTCTAAAGGCCGGTCTGGACTAGGTCTCAGTATAGTCGGCGGCAAAGATACGCAGCTGGTATGATACCAGAAATAAAATGTGCTTTGCTTTATTTTGTATTATCTCTCTCTGTGTGTTTCAGACCCTGCTACGTGTCCCATAGTTCCAGGACAAGAGACTGTTATTGAGATTTCTAAAGGCCGGTCTGGACTAGGTCTCAGTATAGTCGGCGGCAAAGATACGCAGCTGGTATGATACCAGAAATAAAATGTGCTTTGCTTTATTTTGTATGGTTTTGCTTTTTTTTTTTTATTATTTTTGTTTGTTTTTCGCTATTATTTTTCTGTATTGTTTATTTGTTTTGTTTTGTTGTTGTTGTTTTCTGTTTTTTCTGTTTTGTTTTGCCTTGCCTTTTGTATTTGTTTTAATTTTACTATATTTTTTTGTTTAGTTTTTTTATTTTGTCTTAGTTTTTTTGCAATTTTGCCTTTTTTGTTTTCGTTTTTTTGTTCTTTTGTCTTTTGTATTTGTTTTTTTTTCTGTTCAGTTTTTTTCTGTCTTGTTTTTTGTTTTGTTATTCTTTTGTATTTGTTTAAATTTTTGCTAGGTTTTTTATTGATTGTTTTTTTTATGTTTTTTGTTCAGTTTTGTTATTTTAATTTGTAGGTTTTTTTTGTCTTGTATGTGTTTAGTTTTTTCTTTCTGTTTTGTTTTTCTTTTTAGTTTTTGATTTGTCTTTTGTGTTTGTTTTAATTTTTGCTTTTTTATATATTATATTATTATTATATATTTTTATATATTATATGTTTATATTTTGTATTTTATTTGTATTTTTCAAAAAAAATGTCTATATAGTTTTCATCTTTCGGCTTTTTGTTTTTGTGTTTAGTTTTGTCTTTTGTTTTTTTCTGTTGTATTTTTTTTGTATTATGTCTTTTGTATTTTTTTCTGTTTTATGATTTCAGTTTTGTAAATCAGTGATTTAAGTGTTAGTTAGCACATACAGCTCCTTTAATTGAAACATGCATGAATGAGTCATTTTAATGTCAGATTCAGTCAATAGCACATTTATTGTTGTTGATTGCTTATTTTACCTAGATTTGGTAGCGTACACACCCAGGATGCTTTCTTATCTTAAAAAATAGCTAGATAAAAGTGACAGGGCTCATTCTTTCTAGTGTGCCGCAGGGCTGCATCGGAACAGTCAGGTCACAGCAGGAGCTTTTTGTCTGCCCTGACTTTCTCTGCCCGACTGCAGACACGAGCATCGCCTCAGGTTTTTATCAGTGTACTCCCACCTCGCCATCATAATTCTGCAGCGCTCCAGCTCTGTGGGCTAGTTTAGCTGTCAAAGGCTTCCATGAGTTAACAAAACCAGCCCTCGGGCTCCACAGGTTTTCAGCAGAAAAAAAATGTTTCGTGTGTGTTTTTATAAAAAAGGATTTTAAAGGTGAAGGGGAGCAGAAATTATGCATCCTCATGTCGCTCCAAATCAGTACGACATATCGTTTCTGTGGAACACAAAAGAAGATATTTCAGAAAATGTGCAGGTTACTCTTTTCCATTCAGTTACAAATAATAGTGACTAAAGCTTTCAAGCTTCAATAAAGGATGCAAATAAAAGTATAAAATTGATCCGTATGACACATGCACTATATTACTTGTGTTACAAAGGCTTTGTACGAGGAACAGACTGACTATTTTTGTTATCAGTTATTCGGTGATAATCTTTTCCTCCTGTGAGCTCTTAACCGAATGAAGTCGGTGAGTTGAACTCAAGAACCTGATCAGTTTAATTCGTAAACAAATCGTTCAATTTTTGTGAACCGAGAGAGATTCATTAAAAAGATCCGATTGAAAAGAATGATTGATTCACAAAAGTAGAAAATGTCAAGATTTTCAGTGCATTATGACCATTGTTGATATTGTCAACTAAAATTAAAACTATTAAAAATCGTTTTCAGTAATTAAAATACAGCTGAAATACTATAAAATTTAAATATTACATGAAAATCTTTATCAAGGATTTTGCCTTGGCAACTAAATATAATTTAGGTTAAAGTACTAAAACACTAAAAATGATAGAAGTATTTAAATTACTAAAACTAAAACTGAAATAAAAATAAATAGCTGTGTAGAAATGGAAAAGAAAAAATGACAAGCACTAACAAAATGTACTAAATCTTAAACTAAAATGGAAAATAAGCTCATTTTAATATTAATCACTGATAAATTAATTTTAACTTTTAATGTTTTTCACACAAATCTATGGTATGATTTCAGAAGACTTGAAAGATGGCTAAAGAGTCAATTCGTATTACTTTTGTCTCCTTTATGAAGCTTTGAAGCTTCAATTTCTGTTCATTGTAGTTGTTCTGTTTCATACGCATTTGAAACAATGTAAGGCTGAGTAAATGATGACAGAATTTGTAGGGGAGCTGTTCCTTTAAGAAACAAGTGATAGGAATTTATAGTTTCTTTCTCTTTTTTTGCCATATTTCTCCTCTTCACACATATTTCTCCTCTTTTCAGGATGCCATAGTGATTCATGAAGTGTATGAGGAGGGGGCGGCAGCGCGGGACGGTCGTGTCTGGGCCGGAGATCAGATTCTCGAGGTCTGTTTGTGTGTATGAGAGAGTGTGTTGTAAGGTTGTAGAGCGGGACACCTCTGTAATGTCACTGACAGCTGGTCTGCCTTAAGCAAAATGGAAATTTGACGGCATTATTGTGAATTATTTTAGATCTGAACAGTGCTCCTCTGTATTTAACTTTGACAATAGTGCCATCTTCTGGACATAGAGTAGTGTCAGCATAAGCTTTTGCTATGTGCTGTATTTATTTCGTCATTATGAATTAGCTTTTATTTTTATATTTTCATATTTCTTTTTTTATTTCAGTTGACTTTTTAGTAATTTTGTCATTTTTATTGTTTTTTTTATTATATATATATTTTTTAAGTAATTCTCTATAGCGTTAATTTTGCATAATTGTATTATTGGTAAATGTGTAAGGAGACTGTGTTCTCTGGCGTCCCCTGCAGGTGAATGGAGTAGATCTGCGGAGCGTGGCTCATGAAGATGCCATAGCTGCTCTACGGCAAACACCGGCCAAAGTGAGGTTGACGGTCCTGCGCGACGAGGCGCAATACAGGGACGAGGAGAACCTCGACATGTTCCGTGTTGAACTTCAGAAGAGAAGCGGACGCGGGCTGGGCCTGAGCATCGTTGGGAAGAGGTGAGTGCAAGCTTGTTTTCCTTATGAGGAGAAAAGGGAAAGAATGGAAAAAACAATAATCATTTTAAAATGAAAAGATAAATAAAATGCACAATACAATAGTAATCATTTTAAAATAATATCATGAAATAAAAAGCATAATAAAATATAATTTTAAAGTAGTATCTTAATAAAATGCAGAGTACAGTAATGTTGAAAATAATAATAAAATGCACAGTTCAGTAATGTTTTAATTGGCAATAAAGCATTTTTCAAATAATTAAAACAATGCATAATAAAATATAATCATTATTTTAACATTTAAAAAATGCACAATATCATATTTTAAAATAATATATTTAAATGTATTCATTTAGCAGACACTTTTATTCAAAGCAACTTGCATTTTCAAATTGCACAGTACAATTATCCAAAGCGACTTGTCAATAAAATGCACAGTACAATAATCATTCAATACAGAATGAAATGCACAATACACTAATTCAAAATAAGATCAAATGTACAATGCAGTAAAAATCATTTAAAAAATAATAGAATAAAATAAAAACAAAAATAATATTAGTAGTTTTACACAGTAATAGTTTTGATAAATAATAAGTTATGCTATAATACTATAATAATTTTTAAATAATACAATAAAATAAAATGCACCAAATAATAATAATTAAAAAATAAAATAATAAAATTGAATGCACAATACAATAATATAAAAAAAAGTAAAACAATCTGCACAATACAGTAACTATTTTGGTTGTACACAAACATGACACTCAATTTCCTCGTTCTCCTTTTCTCCCTCTTCAGAAATGGTAAGGGTGTGTTCATCTCGGATGTGGTGAAGGGCGGAGCGGCTGATCTGGACGGCAGACTGATGCAGGGTGATCAGATCCTGTCTGTGGATGGAGAGGACATGAGACAGGCCTCACAGGAGACCGTCGCTGCCATTCTCAAGGTGAGCTCCACCTCAATCCTAAAACCCAAAGCCCAGTTTACATAAACTAAATTACAAGACTGGAGTTAGTTGGAGCAGCAGTCATGCTGCCACTAGGTGTCGCTGTTTGGTTGTGTATTTAGTGGCTGTTGAGGTCTGTGGTATTTATAAACAATTTCGGATTTCTTATTTAAACATTTTGTTTTGTCTGCAGTTACAGTAATGATTTAAAGATTTTATATTTTTAAAAAAATGTTTGCAATGTTCATTCCTATTAAAAAGAGCTTGAAGAATTCAGGGGGGTCCAAAGTTTTATGTAGGATCACATAATTCATCTCAAGTGACAAAAACACTGAATTCCACGTCTTATAATCATAATGGCCGGTATAGACATCATATTTAATTTTATGCATGGGCTATGATTGGTAGATATGTCAGCATACAAGTTGTACTGTCAAATTGAATGTGGTATCTATCTAACCTACCTGTTTCATTGGTTTATATGGAGTTCAAACGCATGTTCACTCTAAAACACACTTCATATAACGGTTTTGGCCTCACATTGTAGCATCACATTGGTTTATCATAGTTTTTGTTATGGTCAGTTTAGATATCAGCATATCAGCTGTCCCCAAAAATATGCTTAAAATTTGATATTAAACAATATCCAACCCAACCCTTTTGTAAGTTTTAAGATGTATTCAAATTCATGTAACGTCCTACACTAACTCCCAGAAATTTCGTTAAAAAGTTCATAACAAATTGAATTGAGTAATAAAATTGTTACAAATAACGCAAAAAAAGTTAATAGAATGTTTGTTTGTTTGATTTTTAGCTGAAACTGTGCTAAATGTTGTTTATGTAATATACAAACACACACATACATTTACATACAAAGATGTACAGTATATATAGGTAAGTCCATCATGTTATTAGGATGTTTAGATTTTTTTTTATTTTAGCTTAAACATCACGTTGTGTGTGTGTGTGTATATATGTATGTATATGTGTATATATATAT